GTTAGCACCGTACAGCTAGCACCGTACAGTTAGTACAGTACAGTTAGTACAGTAGGAGTTAGTACAGTACAGGTAGTACAGTAGGAGTTAGTACCGTACAGTTAATACAGTACAGGTAGTACAGTACAGTTAGTACAGTACAGTTAGTACAGTACACAGATGGTACAGTAGAGATAGTACAGTACGGGTAGTACAGTAGAGTTAGTACCGTACAGTTAATACAGTACAGTTATTACAGTACAGTTATTACAGTACAGTTAGCACCGTACAGCTAGCACCGTACAGTTAGTACAGTACAGTTAGTACAGTAGAGTTAGTACAGTAGTAGTGAGAGTTAGTACCAGTACAGGTAGTACAGTAGAGTTAGTACCGTACAGTTAGTACTGAGTAGAGTTAGTACAGTAGAGTTAGTACAGTACAGGTAGTACAGTACAGGTAGTTACGGTACAGGTGGTACCAGTAGAGTTAGTACCGGAAAGTTTGTAAGTACAGGTAGTACAGTACAGGTAGTACAGTTAGTACAGTAGAGTTAGTACAGTACAGGTAGTACAGTAGAGTTAGGAAACACAGGTACAAAAAGATTAAATCTAGGGCAAGTGGTGACATGGCAAAAAGAGCTAATTTGTTTACAGATACTTTGAATTTTCCTACAGACGAGAAGATACCAGACGGGAGCTTATTCCAAACCCTACTAATACGGTTCGCAAAAGAATGATAAAGGGAAAGATGATGGAAAAGATGATGGGGATGAGAACCGATTGTAATTTGATAAGGATGACCACACTGTACGTGTACTTCTAGGACTTTCCAACAATTTTCAAGAGGCTCTCTGAAATTCTGGATACGACTTAGGGTGGAAAAGTATTTTATAGCAAAGAAAAAATAAGATCAAAGTAAATACGGCGATATAAAAGGGGTTTTTAAATGAAAAACTCCAAGTTTAGTCTCATGGCTTGCTTTACTGTAGGCTAAGTCTGGCCTGGCTAGGTCTGGCATAGCTCTACTGTAGACTAGGCTTGGCCTAGCTTGCTCTACTGTAGGCTAAGCCTGGCCTAGCTTGCTTTACTGTAAGCCATTTGGAATGGTAATAAGATTTTGATTTAAAAAATATTAAAATCAAAAAGTGCTTTAAAGATTTTCAAAGTGTAAAATAGTAAAAAGAGATATAAATTTCTCGTTTCAATTTGTGCTTTCAATTTCTGGTTGTAAATTCTCGGAGATGCAGCTGAGAGAGCCAGAAACCTTTCCCTGTTTCTGTTTCTCTCTTTTTGGTCAAACAAAGAGATAACGAAAGGAAAAGACTACTGAAATAGTCATTTCTTTGATCTCTTTGATGTACTTTTCAAGATTTTCAAGCTTTTTCAAGAATTTTTAAAGAATTTAGGGCAATTTTGAAAGAAATGATTAATAAAATCTGGAAAAATCAAAGCAATCAAAGCATTTATAGCATCGTTTTTTGATTTTTTTTTGATTTGATTCTTTTAGTTTTTCGAATAGGCCATTGAATCATTTTTAAAGAATCGAGAAATGTTAAAAATGGAATTCAATAAAAGTTCTCAAACATAATTTTTGATAATAAAGTAAAGAAATGAATGGCAAAGAATTTGAAGAATTGAAGCCTCGACATTCCACTTACCGGTCAGATGCTCTACCACCAAGCTATAGGCGCCTTATTTCCCCAAGAGGAAATAGAATCATAGAAATATTAGGTTGTTCGGATCTAAACGAGCGTTTGCACTGCTTAACTCGTGAGGAAGCGAATTTCCCGCACCAGATCGCCTTTCCAATGGCGTGGAGATGCTCATCAATAGTAGAATTTGAACATAGAAACTGCTGAGCAAGTTCGCGTCGTTTGACATGGATCCGATCCGATTGCAGCCCCCAAAATATCGTTGTCTATTGCTTGAGGTCAACGAGAGTGTTCATCATCCTCGAGACTTTTATCACCATTCCGAAAGCGTTGGAACCAGGCTCGGCATCGGCTTTCGGACAAAACATCATTCCCAAATGCTTTGACCAAATCTCAATGGGATTCCGCGACTGTTTTGTAGCGGAATTTCGTTTCAATACGTTTCCAATTTGATTCCAATACGTTTCCAATTTGGTTCCAATACGTTTCCCATATGCAACTGGGTTCGTTCCAATACGTTTCCAATTTGGTTCCAATACGTTTCCAATATGCAACTGGGTTCGTTCCAATATGTTTCCAATATGCAACTGGGTTCGTTCCAATACGTTTCCAATTTGGTTCCAATACGTTTCCAATATGCAACTGGGTTCGTTCCAATATGTTTCCAATATGCAACTGGGTTCGTTCCAATATGTTTCCAATATGCAACTGGGTTCGTTCCAATATGTTTCCAATATGCAACTGGGTTCGTTCCAATATGTTTCCAATATGCAACTGGGTTCGTTCCAATACGTTTCCAATATGCAACTGGGTTCGTTCCAATACGTTTCCAATTTGGTTCCAATACGTTTCCAATACGCAACCGATTTGGTTCCAGTACGTTTCCATTCCGCAACCGATTTGCATCCAATAAGTTTCCAATATGGCACCGATTTGGTTCCAATAGTGAAAGACATTGTAGAATTAGAAAGAATTGTTGGAAGATATTGTGGAATTAGAAAGTGCTTGGTGCAAAGACATTGTTGAATTGGAAAAATTGTTGGAAGACCTTCCAATCTGGTACCGATTTGGCGAGTGATTTTGGATTTTGACCCAGGATTTTGCGACTTTCAGCCTAACGGCCCGAACTCCTCGAGGCTACCGCCAATCAATTTCTGACCAAGAAATTCTATGTTTCAAAAAGTTTAGGCTACAAGACTGTCTAAACAGTTTTTTGAAAAAATTCGAGGGGCTCGAGATTTTTGCATTTTAATGCAATAATTTCGATAAAACGACTTTTTATGCATGAATAATTGTTTTTGACAAAAGTAACGCTATGATTTTACAAAACTAACGCTGATTTTGAGAGAGAATTTGACTAGGGTGACTGACCAACAAGAAAAACATCTAGTTTTCGTGATTTTCTCGATAAAAAATTGAAAATGGCCAATTTGAAAGGCGAAAATACAAATAAAGACATAAAAAATCTATTTGATGCTAAATTTCCATCAGTTTTGATTTCTGTTATTCAAAAGAATCTCTAACAAAACAAACTAGAGCTCTTTTTTTCTTCAAAATTCTCCTCTTTTCTGTGTTTATTCTACCCATTCGCTCAATTATTTCTGTTATTTCGCGATTTTCCGTGATTCACCACACAAACCAACAATATTTTCATTGTAAACAAGTGTATTTTGAAGTAAAACCTTTAAAAGAGTAAAAACAGATTTATTTTACAAAACCCGATCAGAAAAAGAAAAATAATATAAATAGCCGAGATCGATTGGAGAATAAACCCGTAAAATAAATGGCAAAAAAAGGAAATTTTAAAAGGGGAAATGGGGTAAGCTAATTTCCGCTAATCTTTTACGCATTTGCACAACTGGATCGTTTTGCGCAACTTGCCATAACTTTCTTCTAAGTTGGTCAATCTTTATGATTTTGGTTTCATTTTGTAGATCTCAATAAGTGCAACAAAATGGCACAAAGAGCAGAAAGATTGACCAATTTAGAAGAAAGTTATGACTCATCTAGTTCATGACCATCTTCCTTCTGACTCTTTTTGATCAACAACTTTCTTCTCAGTGGGCCAATCTTTTGCTCTTTGTGCCATTTTGTAGATCTCAATAAGTGCAACAAAATGAAACCAAAATCATAAAGATTGGTCCACTTAAAGGAAAGTTATGGCGAGTTGCGCAAACGCAAACGCAAATGACCCTATTGCGCAAAAAAAAAATTGCGGAAATTAGCGTACCCCGGGGGGAATTTGTTAAAGAAATTGGTGATAATCCAATTATCACCAAATTCAGTTAAAGGAAGTCCAAATTCAGCTCCAATTCAGTTAAAAGTTATTGATGATAAAAGATAAAGATAAAGAAAATAAAAGTGATTCAGTTAAAGAAAAAGAAATTTAGATACAAAGATTAAACGATTAAAAGATTAAACGATCAAACTGTGCCCTTAAACAATTTTAAAATTGTTTTTAAATTTGAAGTCACAGTTTTTTTAGTTTATAAGTCATGAAATCAAAAAATCATTGGTTAAGAATATTAAAAGATATTCAGATATGAATATTTCACAAAAACAGAATAGCAGTCAGCAATCAGAACAGCTAGAAATTTTTGTTTTACCCTAAAGTCTCGAGTATAGGTTCATCCGAGGATAAGTTCTGCCTTAATTTACATTCGCTTTAATTGCTTTGAATTTCTTTTGTTGGGTTTTTATACATTTTTATTGTTATATAAACTTTTATTATTGTTCTTGGAGCGCGGGATACTACAGGCCTATCACCATTGCTGGCAGCCTATCACCATTGCTGACAGCCTATCACCATTGCTATTTGTTATGTGCATGGATACATCCAGACGATAGTGTTGAAGAAGACGCTGGAAAGCATCTCTTTCGACCGTCGACGTGGACTTTGGCCGGATGAAGAGGCCAGGGAGGGCCATGAAGAGGCCAGGGAGGGATCCATAAGACTGAGCACTGGAGAGGAGCAGGGCGGACGCGCCGAGCCACGCCCGGAGCAACAAATAACAGCATAAAATTGCTATAACCCTCAATAAATTTACTTCTATTATTGTTCTTGTTAACTGTTAACTTAAAAAGCAAAAAAATTATGCTGCAGCGGGGTTCGAACCCTCGACACACCGCACCGGAGACAGCCGTCAATTTGCATGCGAAAACCGAGCAGAACTTATACTCGCGACTTTAGGGTAAATGAATTTCTTAAATTTTTCTTGAAATTCAAGAAATTCGAGAAATTCTTGAATTTCTTGCATTGAACAAATGAATTTTCTTTGATTTCCTCCATTTTCTTTGATTTAATTTGATTTTGATTTCTTTGATTTCCTTTAATTCACCATGTCTTGATAATTTACAAATTCACAGATCAATTATGCGATATCTCTCGCTCTGCGAGATCTGCGAGATCGCTCGATGAGATTTCCGGCGATGAGAACAATGGATCGAGAAGTGATCGACTTGTTGTGAGACTCATTTGTGGATGCAAGAGTTTCCCGTTTGGAATCATCGGCGGACTCGTCCTTGGGGCCAACGGCGGACTCTCACAACATGTGGACCCACGACGAGATCTCAGTGGATGAGGGAGAGCTGGAATTGCTTGAGATTTGCAATGATCTGTTTTCTAATGATTTCTGAGCTTTTCTTTTTCAATTAAAGGATAGATTTTGATGAGATCGTGTACTTTGAAATGAGAAAAGTGCTATAGATTTGGGTGTAAAGTGAGAAAATGTGCCCATTTCGACATGCTAATCACTTTTTGGTTGACGCCGACGCGCCAGCGGATTTCACTGATTTCATTGTGGTACGACGGGAATTTGTACGTGAGGAACTCATGTAAAAAGCAAAATGTTGCACAAGAGCCTCGGCCACGATCACGTGGTGAACTGAAATGAGCGGTGAGGTTGGGCTTTTGTGCATGAGTCCTGGTTAGTTGATCGACTGCTAGATTGGTTTTTTTGTTTCTTGCAATTCTCTGCAGAGATAGAGAATTTCTAGAGCTAAACTTGATGCATAAAAATGCACAGAAATGCACAAATATCTCTTTTTTGGCTTACTTAAATCTTTGATAGCTTTTAGTGTATAAACTTGTTACATATTTTCGATATTAAATACAAGAAGATATATAAAGCCAAAATCGGACTGATCTGTCAGTTAGTCTGGCTCTGGGCCTAACACTGGCATTGGCCTGGCATTGGTCTGTCAGTTAGTCTGGCTCTGGGCCTAACACTGGCATTGGCCTGGCATTGGTCTGGCAGTTAGTCTGGCTCTGGGCCTAAACTGGCATTGGTCTGGCAGTTAGTCTGGCTCTGGGTACACGGCATTGTCCTAACATTGGCCTAACATTGGCCTAGCATTGGTCTGGCATTGGCTTGGCATTGGCCTAGCATTGGCCTGATCCCGAACTCTGACCCTGCCCTAGCTCTAGCCTAGATTACTATCTAACCTGGCTTTGTAACAGCACTGTAATTTACATTAGCACACTCACCAGCATGTGAATTATAATTGCTTCCATCATGTACATGTTTTGCTCGGCTACTCTTGTCGTACACAAAAAGCGCTAAGTAGATCGCATTGAAAGCGAATTGACTGAAAAAACCGAACTCCATCAAAAAAAAGTTAGAGCTTTTTCTACCTGAAATACAGCACTTGAGCAAGCATCCGGGCAATGAAGTAATAGGGACTTGTGTTGAATCCTTCCATGATCCCAAAAAGACTAATCAGACGAATCGTATTCTCAGGGGTGTTCAAAAGAACACAAATCAAAGCGATTAACAACCAACGACAAAGAGCACGCTGTTGACGAGCCTGGAACTGGAATTGATATTGGAAAACATGTAGTGTTTAGTTATCCAACTCGTTTAGTTACCTGGTTTGACTTTAGACTCGTTTAGCTTTGGACTGGTTTAGCTTTGGACTGGTTTAGCTTTGATTTAGTTACCCAATCGGAAATGTTTCTACGAGCTTGAACACCTCATTATTGTTATTTCTCTAATTAAATGAAAACAAGAAATGAAAAGGAGTGTACTAGAAAGGGTTTATTTATAGGATTTGAAAGAATATAAATAGATTTAACAGATCTGATAGAGTCTGTACAAAGTGTGGATTTCCAGATTGTGTAACTGAACCAGAGAATTGAAAAGTTATTGACAAGAAGAAGAAGAGGAAGAAGAGGATGGAGAAGAAGAAGAAGAAGAGGAAGAAGAAGAGAGAAGAAGAGGAAGGAAGAAGAAGAAGAAGAAGAAGAAGAAGAAGAAGAAGAAGAAGAGGAAGAAGAAGAAGAGGAACAAGAGGAAGAAGAGGAAGAAGAGGAAAAAGAAGCAGAAGAAGAAGAAGAAGCAAAAGCAGAAAGATGTTTGCCTTGTTTGACATGCTAATTATGATAATTTACATAATAAGTACAGTTTTTCATTGTTTCTCTGAATCTTTTACTGATTGTTTTAGTTCAATTGGACTTCAACTTTTGTAGCAAATCTTACTCTGAACAATCCCTTCAATCAGTTCAAAATTCATTTCAATAGACTCAAAATGAATATTTTGAAATTTCTAATCATAAAGTATTGTGTTTTATATCTTTTCCTCACCTTCATTCTCCCCGAATTCGATCTTGTGAGTTTTATGATCTCTTCGAGTGCGCTTTTCCTTCTTTTCAACTCTCCTTTCTTCACGCGAAACCAACGAAATGACCTGAAATATTTATGAATTAGAAAGTTGAAGAAATATCTGAAGATGAGATTATTATTATTATTATTATCAATAAAGCTAACGTTGATTCAAGCACAACAGAAGTATCCATGATGACGATGACCGCACACGGGATACAAAATGACCAAATGCACTCGACAATGTGGAAAACCCGGTTGGCCGTCATCGAGTTTTTCATGATCGGGACCTGAAGGTGATAGATAAAAACGGTTTTTTAGAGTTTAACAAATACAACGATCCATCGAGGGTTTAAAAGGTTTGATCTATGCAATGTAAAGAACACAAGTATTATATTAGGTTGGTGCAGATGAAACTTCCGTTGGAACCATAAACAAAATTTATTATAAAAATCCTAATACAGAACCTCAATCCAAAAGATATTCGCCATCATTATCAATGACTCTTTGCCATCTTCCACGCAGAGAATGGATGCCCTTTTCGAAGAACTCGGGCAACTGCGACTCGAAGAAGTTGGACACCCAGATTTCAACTTCTTCGCGGTTCTTGAGTTTTTTTCCTGCTAAAGAATGCTGCATCGACCGAAACAAGTGGTAGTCGGATGGGGCCAAGTCCGGGCTATATGGCGGATGAGGCAGAACTTCCCAGTCCAAATCCTCGATTTTCTGCTGGGTGATCTTTGCGGTGTGGGGTCGAGCGTTATCGTGGAGGAATTTTGTAGTCGCCGTGTTATTGCCTTGACGACGCAATACCTGGTCCACGCGGCTCAATTGGGCTTTGTAGAGATCCGCCGTGACTCTTTGGCCCGAATCCAGCATCTCAGAATACACGAGACCTTTACTATTCCACCAAATACAAAGCATCACCTTTTTTCCGTGGATATTCGGTTTGGGAGTCGGTTTTGGCGGTTCACCGGCGTCCAACCACTGCCGTTTTCTTGCTGTGTTGTCGTAACATATCCACTTTTCATCTGCCGTAACAATGGAGTCGAGAAAACCGGCGGTCTTTGCGCGGCGGACGAGAATTCCAGCCATCGTAGCTCGAGCCGCTTTGTTTGCGTCGCTGAGCTGATGTGGCACCCATTTTCCACACTGATTCGTCTTACCAATTGCGTGCAAATGGCGGAGAATGGTTGTATGGTCGCAGTCAAACAGCTCTGCAAGCTCCCGAGTTTTTTGGCATGGATCCGATTCGATAGCGTTCTTCAACTCATCGTTGTCGACAATTTGAGGCGGATTCCCGCGTTTTTCGTCTTCCAAACTCTCATCACCGTCTCGGAAGCGCTGAAACCAAGTCCGGCATTGACGTTCGGACAACACGTCATCGCCGAATGCTTTGCACAGAGCACGATGAGATTCCGCAGGCGTTCTGCCTTGTTTAAAATCATACAACAAGCAAACCCGCACTCGAAATTTTTCGTCAACCATTTTCTAGAAGCTAAAAATTACTTCAAATTAAGTAAAACGCATAAGTCTTAGATATCAAAAGACGCGCAAAGAGACGCTCTTTCAGATAGACAAATATCTTCAATAAAAACTTTTATTAGGTTCAAAATATAAACAAACAAGTGTGACGGAAGTTTCATCTGCACCAACCTAATATAATAGTCGGTTCCGAAAGCTTCAACTATCAGAATGGTTTCAAGAGCAAATTTTCTAGGTCTAGATCCAAGCCTCTGACGGTTCTGAAGACTATTTCTTTCTTCCTTTCTTCCTTTCTTCCTTTCTTCCTTTCTTTCTTTCTTCCGTCCTTCCTTCCTTCCTTCCTTTCTTCCTTTCTTCCTTTCTTCTTTCCCTCTTTCTCTTCCCTTCTCTTTCTCTCAAGTTAGTCCTGGATGGCTCAGTGGTTAGAGCATTTGAGCCAACTCTGACCTAGTTCCTCGCCCGGAAAGCAAAAGCTCGACAGTTCTCCTCTCCCTTTTCTTGTCAATTCCTTCACTTCTTATTACAAAAACTATTGAACCAGCTAGAAGTCAGGCCTAGAATTGGCTCTGATCTAGTTTCTGGCCTAGCTTTGGCCTAGCTTTGGCCTAGCTTTGGCCTAGCTTTGGCCTAGCTAGCCTGGCCTGGCTTACAGGACTCCGGGCTTCAGTTGGAACATGAACTTGGAGAATTAAAGCTGTAAACAAGCTAGAAATGTTAGTAATTTGAAAATCTGAGAGATTCTAAATGATATTTTGTATTTCACTTCTAAACTTTACCTGAGTACACTCTCCATTCGGTCTCGCATCAATCGCCACAAGCAACCAGATATTCAACAGAGTTGACATTGACTAGAAAGAGATTCTTTTGTTATTTGTTTATTTTAAATGTTTTTTGTTTCTGTTTCTGTTCCAAATCTTTACCTTGATCTTGAAAGAGAAATTTTTTAAAGTAAGAAACGAGTTGCTCAATAATTCACTAGCGGGGAAAGACGAAAGATTTCTCGATTAGCCACAGCTTATCCCATTTGAATGAAAAGCTTAAGAGAGTGACTCAGAAAGCGGTTTAATTTGGTTGTAAATAAATGAAAATTTTCAAATTGACCAATTCCTTTAGTCTTTTTTTAATCATAAGATCCTTAAATCATAAGTGCAACAAGGTTAACTCAACTCTAGATTGCAACTTTGAAGCTCAACTCTAGATCAGCTTTGAAGCTCAACTCTAGATCAGCTTTGAAGCTCAACTCTAGATCAGCTTTGAAGCTCAACTCTAGATCAGCTTTGAAGCTCAACTCTAGATCAACTTTGAAGCTCAACTCTAGATCAGCTTTGGAGCTGAACTTTAAAGCTCAAGTTTAAAGCTCAGGTTTAAAGCCCAACTTTGAAGCACAACTTTGAAGCACAACTTTGAAGCTGAACTTTAAAGCTCAACTTTGAAGCTCAAGATTAAAGCTCAACTTTAAAGCTCAACTTTAAAGCTCAACTTTAAAGCTCAAGTTTAAAGCTGAAGCTTAAAGCACAAGTTTAAAGCTGAACGTTAAAGCACAACTTTAAAGCTGAACTTTAAAGCTTAGCTGAACTTTGAAGCTGAACTTTCAGCAAGCTACAAAAAGAAAATTTATAGCATTTTCTTCAGTTTTCTTATTTCAAATTACAGATCAGAATTCATTTTTGGAAATAAACGAAAAGCATTTATTTTAAATGTAGCCTTGAAACAAGGAAATCCCCTTTTTTTCACACATCAATGCACTTTCAGAAATAGACTCAAATTGAAGGGTTTTATGTGAGAAAATTTCGAATACGAATAAAGTTTTGCTAGTTGATTTTTTGGATTCTGTGAAAAGCGATGGGTTTTTTTGGCTTTGAAAAGAAATGATAAAACTTATAATGATAAAACTTACAATGATAAAAGCCAACGCTCGATAGGGCATTTGCCAGATTCGAAGATGATACAATGGATGGCAGATGGCGAGGTAGCGAAGTGAGGAAAGCAATAGCCAAGACCAGATCGAGATCCCGGTAATTGTATGGGTGAGGAAGAGCATTCCCTGAAGCAAGTGCATCGTTTTTGTACATTCTCTTAGATTCTCCTTACATTCTTCTTGCATTCTTCTTGCATTCTTCCTACATTCTTCCTACATTCTTCCTCCATTCTTCCTACATTCTTCCTACATTCTTCCTACATTCCTCTTACATTCTTCTTACATTCTTCTTGCATTTTTGCATTCTTACTTAAATTTCTTACCGGCTTACATTCTGAAACAAGTAAGCGAAACAAGCAGTTTACCTTTACCAGATTCAAGTTTTGAGCAAAGAAGCCATACAAACCTTGCAAAACGGTCGAGCCATACTCGGGCTCACTCCCACATCCAGATTCATCACATGAGCATTGTGAACACCAATCAGCAACAAGCTGCAAAGATCAGCCGCCGCCATCGAGCACAACGCGACCCCGGTTCCATTTCGATATCGTTCAACATCGTTTCTGAAAATTTTATTTTAAGTGTAAGATAATAAGTTAAAACTAGCGTAAAAACTCAAGCCTAGAGGCTGCCAGCGAGAGGATTTCGTTCGATTTTCGTTTACCAGGGACAAAAAGGGTATCCTTAGCACACTAGGCTACCGACAAGAGATTGTAAGAGAAAAAAGAGATTACTGATCGCTGGTAAAAGAGACTACTGATAAAAAAAACTAATGTTCAAGTGTTTTTCTAAAAGGAGCAAGGTTTGATCGACAGTGGATCCGAGCCAGGGACAAAAAAAGATCGACACGCTAGCACACTATCCACTAGCCTATTGAAGCATGTTTTGCAAGCCGTTTCAAGCTGCCCTTGAATGGGTGTTTGCACCTTGGAATCAAGTCAAATCACCTAGTCAAATCGCTCCTAAAAGCTCTTTGATCTCAAATCGCTTCAAGGAGCTCTTTGGTGAGATAAGAAGCTTTGATACGATAATTTAAGCTTTTTTGAAGTCAATTTTGATCGTAGGAACCAATTTACAGTCAATTTATAAAAATTTAAACGATTAGCAACCAATTTCTACTGCCAATTTATACAATTTATATGATTAGCAACCAATTTACAGCCAATCTATACAATTTAAACGATTAGCAGTCGATTCCTACTGCCAATTTATACAATTTATCTGATTAGCAACCAATTTACAGCCAATCCATACAATTTAAACGATTAGCAGCCAATTTCTACTGCCAATTTATACAATTTATATGATTAGCAGCCTTTTTTTGTACCCACACCTCAATTTTAGGTGTAAATTTTCTCAAACCAGGCTTCACTCACGAAGCTTTCCCTCAAAAATCTTCCCTCACGATTGAAAAACTCTCCCAAAGCTTCTCAAAAGTCGCAAAAAGTTACTTACATTCGGTTGTTTTTTTTTGATGTCTATCAATAAAGCCTAAGTTATTGCGGGAAAACCTGAGAAAAAAACCCTAGAAATAGCACGTAAGTCCCTATTGCGCTTGCAAGACAGACCTGTTTTTATGTCAACAAGTTGAGCTTTATGGGTAATACACAGAGTCATATTTCCCTAGTCAACCCCCGTTTTTCATCAAAAACATCTTGTCAACATCGCCAAAAATTGCTTTGAAACACGTGTTTTTGAAGTGGTTGAAGTGGTTTGAAGTGAATTAATGAATTCTTTTGGATCTCTTGTCTTTTGGATCATAAATCTTGTGGTACAGGATTATTTGTGGTACATTAAGTCGAATTTCCGAATCGAATTAGTTTGGGGTAATTTTGGAGTCAACCAAAAATTGTTTTGGTTGAATTGGATTGGATTGGATTGGATTGAATAAAGAATAAAAATAGAATGGAGTTTTTGAATGTGGAAAGCGATGAGGATTTTTTTTGATGAGTCAAACATTGCACAATGACTCATTTCCATGACTTTCATCCTTTTTAGATTATTTTCCAAATCAAAATGAGCTCATTGACAAGCTTTATATAGCTTTATATAAACTATATCAACTAAATAAACTTTAGCAATGATAAATGACTCAAAAACTCAATCAGATATAGGGCAATGGCTGTGTTGAGGGACTTTCCTTACTCGCCACATTTGGAATCCCAGCGGAATGTCGCCAAGTGGCTGTGACTTTTTGAAACAATACCAGATAATCGACTACGCTGAATCTGAATCCGTTTTCAGTTTTTACCCTTGAGGCCTGTAACGCGAGATATCTGGATTACAAGTTTTAGCTTCCTTCCTTTCTTCCTTTCTTCCTTTCTTCCTTCCTTCCTTCCTTTCTTCCTTTCTTCCTTTCTTCCTTCCTTCCTTCCTTGGGTTTATTTTCAAGAAGCCAACTAGCGACGTGGTGCATCACTAAACTTCCCGACTACGGGTCCAAAGCAGTCTGGTTCAATCCCGACCAATTTCTTTTGGTTTTTTAATCTGGCACAATTTGCATACTAGTTGACTCCGAAAAACTTGATACTGCATACTAGTTGACTCCGAAACTCGATTGGTCTAGTTTTAAAAGATCACGAGCACCTAGCGACGTTCCTTTGACTTGAATTTCTGGAAGTAAAGAATGGCTGAAGAAGAAATGTCTGTTTCTTGTTTCTCAGCTGTTCCCCAGCTGTTCCCCATTTCTTCCACTCACCTAGCACATCTCCGCATTCGAAACAGCACATAAAGATTCGCTGGGATGCCAATTGTGAAAGCGATCACGTAAATCGCCACAGTGATCACTGCCACCGGTTGAACGAGCGGATTGGTGAGCATCGGATTCTCATCGTACTAAAAAAGTTTTTAATAATTCTGTACATTAGTGGATGTTTTTATGTATCTTTTAGTCATAAATAGCTAACAAGTTAGTCGCTTTCAATTTCCTTTTGTGAATACAAGCTTTCTTTGTATACAGAAAACAAGAATACAGCTTTTGACTGACTTTCACAAACTTTCACAAACATTTAAAAGCATTTTCAAAGGTTAACTTTTATAAATAATAGTATATACTCAACAATACTATAGTCAAATTGTAAGAAATTTCCTATAACAGATGATGCAAGCAGCTTTCTAACAGCAGCTTTCTAACAGCAGCTTTCTAACAGCAGCTTTCTAACAGCAGCTTTCCAACAGCAGCTTTCCAACAGCAGCTTTCCAACAGCAGCTTTCCAACAGCAGCTTTCCAACAGCAGCCTTCTAACAGCAGCTTTCTAACAGCAGCTTTCTAACAGCAGCTTTCTAACAGCAGCTTTCCAACAGCAGCTTTCCAACAGCAGCTTTCGAACAGCAGCTTTCGAACAGCTTGTAAGTAAACTAGCCTCACCTCTTCATAGGTTTCGTTTCCCGGCACGTAGTAGTCTTCCTCCATGACTGAATTTAAGCTTATAAATTGAGTAATCAGATTTAAAAAATACTATGATTGATTTGAAATCAGTAATAACAAAAAGTAATAACAAAAAGAAATAAAAAAAGAAATATAGAAAAAGTAATAAAAAAAGAAATATAGAAAAAAGCTAGTTTTCTGAAGAAAGAGTTGACTGTCGAAATTTGTCGAAATTTTGAAAATCAAAAGAGCTTTTGAGGTAAGAAAAAAAGAATGAAAAGGCGAAAAACTTTACAAAACAATCAATAGATGAAATGAATTGTATAAAAATTTGAAAGAAATAATAGAAATAAACTTAGATTGTAGGGAAAATCAAAAGATTTCTCTATCATGACCATTTTGTGTGTGTATTTGTGTGCAACCGCTCTTTCAACAACTGCTCTTTTCCTATGTTGATTACCATAGAATTAGAGATTTCAACGAGAGAAAAAGAATCAAAAAAAGCAAAGAAAAACACAAGAAGAAGCCTTGGGCTGAAAAAAATAAAAATAAAAGCCTTTTTTGAGCTTAAAAATTAAGAAATGAACGCTGTTTTAGCTGAAAAAAATGCTTGAAATCTCAGTAATTCCCCTTTCTTCTGCGCATATACTTTTATACTTTTTATACTGTAAAAACATCTGTAATCTGTATCTGTATCCGTAAAAACAAGCTTAGACTTTTGGCATAAGAGTTTTTGGCGTTTTTGGCATAGGAGAATAACAAAATTTCATTAGATGAATTTATAGAGTAAAGAATAGAGTAAGAAATTGCTAATTTCAGCATTTTAACTGTTTGATCTCAAAGGATGACAGGATTGGATGATCTCAAAGGGGAAATAGTTAATTTTTCCGAAATAGCAACAAACATTGGCTTTCTCTCAACATATTCACTTGATTTCTATTGTTGTCAAGATATCTGACAACTGGATACGATTATGGATAAACTTGTCTAACAATTACTTTCGTAATTGACTTTAATTACTTTAACGGCACCGATAAGTAAGGTTTACAACATCGACTAAACCATTATTCAAAGATAGAGCCGGATCAGTACTGTTGTCGGTACCGATAACAAGACATGGTTATCGGATCGGATCAGGACCGATCCGATCCGATAGGTCCGACCAATCGGGCTAGCCCGATTCGATCCGATCCGTCCGACCGATTAGGATCGCCCGATCCGATCCGATAGGTCCGACCGATCGGGTCAGTCCGATCCGATTCGATCCGATCCGTCCGACCTATCGCACTAGCCCGATTCGATCCGATAGGTCCGACCGATCGGGTCAGCCCGATTCGATTCGGTCCGATCCGATCCGTCCGACCAATTGGGCTAGCCCGATCCGATCCGATTTTGCCAAAAAAACCATGTCTACCGTTAACCGTTAATGAATGACCGTTTCATGAACCATTAGTGTATCACTGAAAACAAATCTAGCTATAGAAACGATTAAAATGGTTGCTTAAATGTAAATTGATCATAACAAATTGATTAAATTGTTCAGGTAGCAAAGAGCCGATAAGCTGGTCTTAAAATTATAGCTTTTGGACCCGTATACCGTGGCTTTGCCTTAATCGCTCGAAATCTTGAAAAGCGCATATCAGAGCCTATCGATGTGGGGTCGGAAAATGTAGCTGACGATGAGATCTAGTGGGGGATTAGAGTGTTGAGTTTCTGTGAAAACTTGAAAACCGTAAAATATTCATCAACTCGGCTCAGCGTGGGGCACTACTACAGGGAAAATATTAGAGAAAATAAGGTAGTTAAGTTTCGTAGCCAACTGATGAATAGGGTTGTTAGAGCCCGGGACTTTCCTTTCCCAGTATTGATTGATCAACATCAATGATAAAGATATGGCAATAGATTTCACGTTCCACATCTGACTATACGTTTAACATTGAAGGTTTTCCCGTTGGCTTTTAAAATTCAGTTGGCTTTTTTTGATGAGTAGCTCTAGAAAGTAGTCATAAGATGACAAAAAGTAAAAAAAAAAAGAAAAAAATCCACGAGACAAATCCCATTCTCATCAAGCTCATAATTGAACGTGAATTCGCGGAAAACTACTTAAAAGAAAATTGTGGTTCCCATGCTCACATTGTCACATGTTGGCTCAAATTTGTGAATCCAGAAGAAAGAAAAAATGAAAAGCATGTACAAAAGCTAGAAACTAAAAGAATACCGCTCAATTTTCGTCGACAAAAGCTTCGTTTTCGAACATTTTCAAACGTAAACTACTGGGTTCAATAATTTGTTTGCTTTTTTTGTTTTTGCTTGATGACCGGTCAAAATCTCTGTTATTTCCCCTCTTGAACTCTTTGAAAAGTTGTGATTTATAACTGAAAAAAAATAAGATCAGAAAATTAGCAAAAAAAAAGAGAAAATTTGGGGTTAGAAAATGGTTGTAATAAAGTGCAATAAAGTTCAAAGCTTTTCTTGGAAAACAACATCTTGTATGCGTTCATAAAAATGCCCAAAGTGTCTCATTATTTTGGGGGAAATAACAGAGATTGGTTGATGGAATCAAATAATATTTGGTGAGAAAGCAAAAAGCACATTTTGAACTAGAGAAACGTCAATTCGTTTGACGAAATGATCATGGAATTGTTTGGAAAACACAGAATACAGTCGACTCTCGATAAAACGATGCTCGATATAACGATATCTTCGATATAACGTTGTTTGATATAACGATATGTTCGATATAACGATATCAAGCATCGATCCCGAGTGAATCGTTATATCGAGAGTCGACTGCAGTAAAGTTAAGATGAAAAATACAAGAAAACCCTTTTCAAAACAGACTTAGCAGCCAGGATAGCTTCCTTTCTTTCTTTCTTTCTTTCCTTCTTTCTCTCTTTCTTTCTTTCTTTCTTCTTTTCTTCTTCCCTCTTATCTTTCCCTCTTTCTCTAGGAAAGTTAAGGTACCGGATAGCTCAGTGGTTAGAGCAAAGGTTTCTGGATAGCTCGAAAAGCAAAAGATCAAGGGTTCAATTCCCTCGGAAATCTACTCATTTTTATCAATTCCTTTACTTCTTTATTAAAATAAAGTTAATAACAAGAACAAGAATGAAATTGATGACAAGAGTGATGAGAAAGATCAAAATCAAGATCAAGGCTAAGATCAAGAACAAGGCCAAGACCAAAATCAAGATCAGGATCAAGAGCAAAATTAAGGCCAAGACCAAAATCAAGACCAAAATCAAGACCAATATCAAGATCAGGACCAAGATCAAGACCAATATCAAGATCAGGACCAAAATCAAGGCCAAGATTAAGGCCAAGACCAAAATCAAGACCAAAATCAAGACCAATATCAAGATCAGGACCAAGATCAAGACCAATATCAAGATCAGGACCAAAATCAAGGCCAAGATTAAGGCCAAGACCAAAATCAAGACCAAAATCAAGACCAGGACCAAGATCAAGATCAGGACCAAAATCAAGACCAAGATCAGGACCAAAATCAAGACCAAGATCAAGGCCAAGACCAAAATCAAGACCAAAATCAAGACCAAAATCAAGACCAATATCGAGATCAGGACCAAGATCAGGACCAAGATCAAGATCAGGACCAAGATCAAAATTAAGACATGTTGAAGACTCTGAAGCTCAATGATATAAACCAAAAAGTCAAGTCAAGTTATCTTGTAAGTAAAAACAAATTTGATTTCATTTTCATAAACAAAAAATAGTTATAAACCGGAAGACAAAAAGAAGAATAAAATGAAAACTTCTGAAAGAGATGAATTAAAATAGAAAAGAAACTGCTATGAGAACGTTTGTCAGGTCAAATTTCGCAATCAAATTAGATCATTATACATGTCTTGAACAGTTAAAATGCGTTTTTAAAGTTGAACTTGAAAAATTAAAGTTAGAAATTGAGTTTATCTACATTACACTTCAAAATGAGCTTTTCATTTTCTTAGCCAAGTTCCTGTTTGTCACTTTGATATTCAAAAAACAAAAGAGGTTTTGGTATTTAAAGGATTTAAAGGATTTAAAGCCATTTCAATAGTTCAACAGTAGCCACTCTAATCAATTAGTCTAACATTTATGAGTTTATTGAAAAAGTATTCCTGTTTTTCAAACAGAAACTCGGGCTAAGCCCACTAGATCGCAAACTGTTTCAAAAAGATAATTGTACGTCAAAAAGATAATGTCTTTTCAGAAAACAATTCATCAGATGAATTTTTATCAAAAAAAAAACCTTTCAAATAGTTAATCTTCCGTCTATCAAAATGTTTTTGTTGTGAAAAGAAATGTTTCGGTTTTTTTTCGATGACGGATACATTCAATTAGTTAAAGAGATGTCTAATCCCCGAAAATCTCCGGTTTAGTCTTGAAAAGATCGAAAAAGTAACGATTTGTATTTTAAAAATAGATCCAAAAACTCACAACAACTTTACGAAGGATTAATAAGGATCCAAAGGATCCGAGGAACCGAAAAAGGATCCGAAAAAGTCAAGACTTGAGCGTTGTTTAAAAGTTGAAGCTTTCTGAGAGCAGAGCTGAGGTTTCAAAGGATTTTATATCTCTATTAGACACTCATATCAATTAGATGAACTTCAGCTAGCCGATCTTTCAATTTTTCGTAGAAACTCGATATTTATGCTAACTATGAGTAATCGACATCCTTTCTTCCCTTCCCAACAACAGCTGATTCTCAATTAAGCCATGAAATATTCAAAGTCTTCGTTCTTTTCTTAGATCCACTCAGTCGACATTTAGGTATTGTAAATAAAGTGACTTTTGAACTGGAAAGAGGAAGAAGAAGAGGAAGAAGAAGAGGAAGAAGAAGAAGAGGAAGAAGTAGAAGAGGAAGAAGAAGAAGAAGAAGAAGAAGAGGAAGAAGAAGAAGAAGAAGAAGAAGGAGAGAAAGAAGAAGAAGAAGAAGAGGAAGAAGAGGAAGAGGAAGAAGAAGAAGAAGAGGAAGAAGAGGAAGAGGAAGAAGAGGAAGAAGAAGAAGAGGAAGTCAATTACGAGATGTAAAGTTGGTGAAAGGCAAT